GTCGTTCTTAGTTCCATTCCGTTCCTGTTCTAGTTCGTGTTCATGATTCTAAGAAGCACTTGGATAAGTGATTTGCTTTATGTAAACCTGGTTTGCTGTGAGGGTTTGTTTTTGCATTTGCTGTTTAACTTCTTGCCAGAGAATTTATCTATGTTTATTTTGGGCTCGCAGCCAGCAAAAGCCAGGACTGATAAAGACATTCCTTTGCACGCTGTGTGTGTGGGGCTGTCGTTTCTGAACGAGCAAAGAGGGGGGTCAAAACAGCTACCCACCTGGGCATCTCCCATCAGTGCTGCTTGTGCATACATCCGGGCTGACATATTCAAGTCCCTGGTCTGGTTCTGAGCACCATAGTAGTAAAAATCTCCTACTTTCAAGTAAGCTGTGGGAAGAAAGTCTTGCATTAAAGCTTTGGAAGCATGTTTTTCTTTGTTATATTTAATTTAATTTAGTTATGATTTAAATGTCGATGCCTAGAACTTCAGCATCAAAACCAAATGTTTTTAATCAGTTGCTGTTTCTTATTTAATTCTGGAGAACAAGCACAAAAAAAAAAAAAAACCCAGAATATATTCCATGACTCCATAATACTCACAGGGCATTATTTTTTTAATCAGCTGTTATACATACCAAAAGAGGGAGCGGTGCTTTGAGAAATGGAGAAATTATAGTACTTCCGAACACAGTCAGTGGAGAAGTATCGGTTTGTCAAGTTCTGGGAAGGATAATGGGAAAATAATGATTTTGGAGGAGGAGGAGAATGAGACGAGAAGAAGAGGAGGAGGAGGAGGAATGAAAAGAAAAAGAAGAGGAGGAAAAGAAGAAGAGGAGGAGGAAGAGGAAAAGAAGAAAGAAAAGAAGAAGAGGAGGAGAAAGAAGAGGGGAGGAAAGGTGAGAGGGGAGGAGGAAGAGAAGAGGAAAAGAAGAAGGAAAAGAAGAGGAGGAGGAGAAGAGGAGGAGGAAGAGGAAAAGAAGCAAAAGAAGAATTGGAAAAGGAAAAGAAGAAGAGAAGGAGGAGGAGGAAGGGGAAGAGGGAGAAGAGGAGGAGGAAGAGGAAAAGAAGAAGAAAAGAAGAAGAGGAAAAAGGAGAAAGAGAAGATTAAAAGAAGAAGAGGAGGAGGAAGAAGAGGGGAAGGAAAGGAGAGAGGGGAGGAGGAAGAGAAGAAGAAAAGAAGGAAAAGAAGAGGAGGAGGAGAGAAGAAGGAGGAGGAAGAGGAAAAGAAGCAAAAGAAGAAGAGGGAAAGGAAAAGAAGGAGGAGGAAGAGGAAGAAGAGAAGAGGAGGAGGAAGAAAAGAAGAAGGAAAAGAAGAAAAAGAAGAGGAGGAAGAAGGAGGCGGAGGAAGAAGAGGAGGAGGAGAAGAATGAAAGCAGNACGCCCATTGATGTGCGTGACATTGAGTTGGCCACGCCCACCCAGTCACATGACCACTGAGTTCCGCCTACCCAGCTGGTCATTAGGGCAGAGAATCGGTTGTTAAATTATTTGAATCCTACCACTGTGGGAAGAGGGGTGAGCTTTAAAAAGGTTAGCAAGGGGTTCTCTGGGTGGGCATGGCCATGGTGGGTGTGGCCTAGTCGGCCTCCTGCACCATAATGGGGAGGGGGCATTTTTGCGCTCCCCAGGCTCCAGAGGTTTTCCTCATGCCTTTGGGAAGGCGAAAATGGCATCCACAGCCTCCGAAGGCCCCCTGAAGGCCAGAAACCTGAACTTCCGGTAGGCCCGGTTTGCGCCCTCCCCAAGCCTACACGAGCACCCTGCACTTTGCTGCATTCAAAACAGGCCGCATGGGGACTCCTGGGAGAGGAGGAGAGGGGTGGGCGGGGCCAGCCAGGAGTGGGGTTTGGGGGCTCTCCGAACTGCACAGAATCTTAGCTAGGGGTTCTCCTGAACCCCTGAAAACCTCTAGCAGCCCACCCCTGCAGAAGGATATAAAAGTCAAGATGATGGCCGCAACTGTGTGATCAAAGTCCATTTCTTTCTTTATTTCATACCCCATCTTCTTATTATTTTTATAAATATCTCAAGGGGGATAACATATCTCATATTCATCTCTCCTATTTCCCCCACAATATGAACCCTGCGAGACGGGTTGTGGTGAGAGAGAGAGAGAGGCATTGGTCCAAGCCACTCAGCCGGCTTTCATGCTTAAGGCGAGATTAGAACTCACGGTGTCTTGGTGATTGCCCCAAAATCATCCAGATGGCTTTCATGCCTAAGGCAGGACTAGAACTCAGGGTCTTCTGGTGATAGGCCCAAAGTCACCCGATGTAGGAAATGTTCAGGTGGAACCCAAGGATTGGGGTCAAAGACACCATCCGTTTGAAGTCTCTGTGCCCCCATAAGGGACCTAAATCCAGCTCCCTCCTTGGAATTTGTTGACCCTTATCTGGTGCCAATTCACCTTAACTGTTAATTCAGATTCTTAGCCATCGGTAGCATGAAATAAACTTGTAGCACTTTTGAACTCTATCTTGGTTCCTACGTTCTTGCACCTGACACCCAGCTGGCTTTTGTGCCTACAGGAGGGCTAGAACTCACTGTCTCCTGGTTTCTAGCCTGGTGCCTTAACTGCCAGACCAAACAGGTTCTCCTCCATGCCAACCCAACTGTTAGATTATGTTACTAACAGCAACGTACCTAAAAAAAGAATTGGGCTTCCATTACATGATTGGGGTTGCAATTTTGAATTTTTTGACCTCCCCTCTCCCGCAGATTGATGGCTAAACTTTTTGTTGTTGCGTGCCAAAATGCAATGCACGCGCAATAGCAATAGCAGTAGACTTATATACCGCTTCATAGGCCTTTCAGGCCTCTCTAAGCGGTTTACAGAGAGTCAGCATATTGCCCCCANCTAGGCAGGGGGTTGGACTAGAAGACCTCCAAGGTCCCTTCCAACTCTGCTATTGTATTGTATTGTATTGTATACCAGTGATTCACTCAACATCTTAGCAAGGAAAGTCATAAAATGGGGCAAAATTCATTTAACAGATGTTCAATACACAGCAAATATTTGGACTCAATTTTGGTCATACATTGAGGACTACATGTATAAATACTTCAGTAGCAGGTGCACAAAAAGAATACAGATAGTCCTCGACTTACGACCAGGACCTTTGACCACATTTGCAGCAACACTGCCTCGTTTTTCTCTTTCTTGCTCTCCCCAAATGAACCCACAGTGACATGGATGAAGGGGATGAGTTACCATTGAATGGAGTAACTCAATGACAAAGGGACACAAAAACCCGGTGTAAGTATTGTTTGGTTAAATCTATATTCCACCAATCCTATAGGAGCTCACACGTAGAGCTCCCTTGTCTTTCTTCTATTTCCCCCCACAACAGTCCTTTGAGGTAGGCTGAGCTAAGCAAAGCAGACTGGCCCTAAGTCAGATGGTGGATTTTCATGACTGAACAGAGGCAAGAATTTTGGTTTCCCTTTTCTTAGTCCAATTTTTTCACCTCTGAACCTCCTTGGCTCCTGAATTGAGATGGAGGGACTGGGCCAAAATTTCCAGGAGGCTTCTGTAGCTGAAACCCGGGTGTCCCTATTCATAATTCAACCCTTCACCACTATCCCACACTATCTCTAGAGTTGAGAGAGACAGATTGGCCTAAAGTCCCCCTGGAAGTTTCTGTGGCTCAGGGGGGATTAGAAAGTAGGTCTCCCAATTCCTAACAGCACCTTCACCATTATACCCCACAAGTGGAAAGGGAACTAACTTGAGCTAAGAGGGGACACTTACTAATTCCTGCTTTTAAAAGACTTATTATAAGCTCTTTAGAGAGGCTAATTCTTAAGAGGGAAAAAATCCAGTTGTTTCTCTTTCTCTCATTCAGGACCCTGGACAGCTCCCAAAAACAGCCGGAGATTTATCCAATAGAAATGTCTGTAGCATAAAGGTTGGGCCATTCCTCCCAATCAGGCTGCAGATCCCAAAAGTTTTAGAATTTGTAGAGTAGCACTGGGGGTGGGGTGGGGTGGGGTGGGGGTTGAACTAAGACATTTTTTCTAGTTCCGTAAATAAATAAATAAATAAATCAGGGGTAGTCAACCTTTTTATACCTACCGCCCACTTTTGTATCTCTGTTAGTAGTAAAATTTTCTGCCTGCCCACTGGTTC